CTTTAACTTCGTGTTGTCACGTGTGTTTTTCCATATCATAAGTCATAGAATAGAGCCTCCAGGGAGGATTGGAGGCACTGAACCCGCATGACTTGGTAACTCGTCTATAGGCTTAGAGCACAAGTAGATGATGTGAGTTTATATTCCTTCCGTTTAAAACCACATATCCTTTCTTCTTCGTTGATTTTGAGTGATTTTGAGGTATAATCTATAATTCAAGTTTTATTAAGTTGTACCAAATATAAAACCTATATGCATTAACTTTAACATTTTATGGAACCTAATAGCAAACTATTAAAAATTGGCATACAAACATTGAACCGGTTATAGAAAAAAAATATTCTAAAAACTTAACAAACATAAAATAAGTACTGTTGAAAGCTGTTTACAGAATGTTTTCTGGTTGGTTTAAATCAAGACAAATAATCAGATCGACTGTCCTGAGAAGTACCAAACAAAAACATTTTTTAAAGGTAAATGATAATGATCTAAACATATATTAATGCAGCTTTCATAGATTGTAGTGATACTCGAAGCATAGTGTTATAATATCATAGTAAATTTTGCAACAATGAATATCAAACGCAAAACATGTTGTACTTCAAAGACAGTGTAAAAACATGATGGAATGATATAAATTTTTAAAGAATATATTTAAAATTCTTAATTTTTTTAACTTTTATGGCTTTGGAAACGAATTAATAAACAGATGACTTGCGTTAAACCCGCTCTTATTTACTACCTTATAAAGTTAATATTATGGGTGTTTACGATCATCATGCCATTGAAGAACCTTGAAGGTTGAACTTTAGATTACGATAGTGAAGCTGCACGCTGTTCATATATTGTCGTTTTATTTTACATCAAATATCTAATGACATTTACGTATAGTTGGTATGTAGGTGAAAATCTTTATTCGGCTAAATAAAAGTACTAACATTTGCTATGATCAAAATAGTACAAAGATGGTGTGCTATATGTTAATGATAGCTTTAAGATGTTCAACATTTCATAAATAATGTTTCTATATATATGTTTTTATGTGTAGTTGTAAGCATATGGACTCCTAATATACTTTCAAGACTGAAGAATAACACAATCTGAAAATAGAAACGTTTAGTAAATAATGTAATTTTAAATTTTCATTATCTACAACATTACATTTTGAAATAAGCTTTTTCTTTTTTTCGATGTACACGCATGTAGATAGACATCGTACTTACAGTCGTCAAACTTGAAACTAAAATAACAAGAAAAGAAGACCATTGATCCAAGTGTAAATGTTTCAGAGGTGAAGTAGAAACGTGTCTAAATGGCAGAATACAACTTTTATAAAACCTTCATTTTGCAGAATATAATCTACATCCTTCGTGTTATCTCTTTCTTATATTCGACTAAGAGCCCGTTAATTTGTGAGATCGTGGGTGTTTTTCTTGTTTACTGTGCCTTAAACCTGAACAGTAGTTTATTGTACATAACCAGCAAAAGGCATGAAAGGTACCTCAAAAAATCATCAAAACTATATTCATTGAATATTTATATCTACTGAGTACAACATTAATAAGGCAGATCGTCTATCTTCTTGAAAGTCAAACTATTTAAACAAAACTGCTCAAAACTAGTCAATAAGAAGATCAATCTGAGTGGTGTATTTGTTACCAAAGGTAAATCAACTATTAGGAGAACATGTGCTGTTCTAGAAATTTCCATTGTTCAAAGTACTGAGATATGGTTTGTCACTTACATTTGTTTTTTATATTATTTAAAACTATATATTATTGGCTTATGGAATATTATATGTTGGAATAGGCTTAATAATTTAATTTAGGTTCCTAATTGTTATTTACATTTAACATTGGAATGTACATCATAGCCTTCCAGACATATAATGTACAGAAGTGTTATAAATGCAGTGTATAGTTAGCAATGAATCATGTATTATAGACTTTGAGACCTCTCCAATTATACAGCAGCAAATGGAATAGTTCGTTACTATAACGAATAACAACTAGTATTCGTATATTACAGATTAATTACATATAAATTTATTTACATAGCTTATCTAACATATTCGTCAATTCCGGTGTAAATTATAACCCATATAGTTTCTGAAAATTGAATCTTTTTTGTTAAAACAGTATAGGTTCAAATATTTCTCATTCTTCCAGAATTAAATTACCTTTTTCCTTTTTATTATTCAAATCATCTGACATACCAATTTAAAAACGTAGAGAAACAGGTGTAAGCGTTATTGAAGCATATTTTTATTCCCAAGCTTTAGTACATTACAAAAAATATTTCATGCAGGTTTCCTAAGTACATTCAGGTTAAACACGTTCTTGAACCGTAATTTTTAATAACAATGTTGTAATTTGTATCCATAACATTAAAAATAACCGTCAATCATAGTGAAAGAAACCTGAAACAAATCATTGAAATAACAAATATAATTTATAAAGGTGATGAAAACTTGATTTAACTACATATATGTTTTATCAGACTTTTCTTATTTTGTCATATTACGGATTCCAAATTACACGTCTATCACAATCCACATCTCAGAAAGAAGGAAATCGTTGGTTTCAATATAGAGCTGTGGCTTAGCGCAACTAGAAACGTATGTGAAAAGTTATTTGTATACAGTATAATACACTAAACACAGCGATATAAAAATTTCTAAGTTAATGAAGCAAGGAGTCCCATTAGACTTTACAAAAATGTTATGCAAATGTTTTTATCACATTCTTTTAATTATTCTACTACGGCTTTCAAGGTCTTATGTTTGGTCCCCAACTAAAAACTATCTAATAGTCATTTTTTTAATACGAGTGTAGGCATTTTACACTACATTATGGAATTTATCAGACTCCATACATGCATCATTCACATTAGGATTTTTGGAACAATAAGCCGACTCCACATTAGTTTAGTGAAACGCTTCTATGACGGTAACTTCTATCAGACGAAAGACACTGATTCGTGAAGAAGAAGAAAAATGAAGCTAATTTCAATGCGTCTGCTTTGAAGTAATTTTAAGAAATGTGCTGAAAAGAAAGAGTTTAGTTAAACAGCTATTGGAAAGTCTCATTTCGTCTCAAAGACCTTCATCTCAGCTCAAGGCTTTGTTTCGTTTCTTATTCTTTCTTAGCCTGTTTAAACTGTTCCGTTTGTTGTAAATCTCAATGCTACAGAATGAGATTTCTGTGTTCTTCCAACCGCGAGTTTCGAAACCCGATTTTAGTGTCATAAGCCCATTGAAATATTGGGGGCGATATAAACTGAAGAAGAACAGTCTAAATCAATGCGTTATACTTTGTTTTTATTGAAAATCTTGTATTTCTACAACAGTGAAATTGCTGGTACTTCTCAAATCTCTTATATAGTTTACTTGTTGATAACTAATGTTAAGTGATAAGATTCAGAACGTGTAAGTCACTAGTAATACATGTTCAATAACAGCCTACGTGAGTAAACTTAAGGGAATTCGAACATAGGTCAACGATTCTACCTCTCACTCCCCGAAGTAAAATTGATATGGCGTTAAACAAATCAACACTTTTACATTAGTAAATGTTATCATATTTGTGTGTGCATATATACACAACATTAATTCATATATTTTAACGCTAATGGGAAATGTCAGTTGTATGGAATAATCAAAGAAATAACTTAGAACAGAAGAGTCTAAGTGGTGTTAAATGCTCAGATCTGAAAACCCGGATTTCTGTTAGTATTCTTAACTCATTTTGGTTTACTTACTACTGAAACTAAAAAACTGGGTTTCGATACTCGTTGTGGGTACAGCACAAATAGCCCATTGTGTAGCTTTGCGCTTAACAACAAACGACCCTTTTTGGTGCATATACTTAGGTGGAGATTTAGCATTTTTGTGTAGAGATAGTATGGCTTATAAGTTTATGGACTTTTCTCGTGTTCAAGAACAACAGGTTTTAACCCAAATCCATCATACTTGAATTCATTATAGCTTTCAACTTCATTTTAAAAGTATGAAATCATTAGTTTCCTTGTAACCAGCTGTGATTCTATCAGTCAGTGGTATGTACGGTTGACAAATGATCTTTGAAAACATATGAAGGAGAATATGTTAAGGTAAGTTATTGACATTTCATTAAATTGTAACAAATATAATCTGGCTGCGTGATAAAAACAAAATTAGAAAAATGTGCTTTTAAGATACAAAAACTAAACAATGTTTTGTATGATCATATCACAGATAACGTCAAAAAATATTTTTATTCCATTTTAGGACTTCTTCAAAAGTGTTGACATGTTAGTCGATCATTGTTAATGATCAAATGAACGTTAGTGTGAATTTCGAAATAAATTATATAACACTTGAATAATTTTGTGTGAACAGTATTAGAATTCAGCCAGTATTTTACTTTGCTGAAGGAGACTGAAAAATTAAAATCATACAAAGTACAAACACTGCGCAAAATGCACTAAAGACAAATTCTTAGTGAATTTCGAAATAAATTATATAACACTTGAATAATTTTGTGTGAACAGTGTTAGAATTCAGCCAGTATTTTATTTTGCTGTAGAAGACTGAAAAATTAAAATCATGCAAAGTACAAACACTGCGCAAAATGCACTAAAGACAAATTATTTTCTGAAGTAATTGAGATATAACAAACAAAGTAGCGTAAGCTTTTAGCTAAACACTTAGACTAGACGATAAAATAATCACAACGTATTACTGTAAAATCAAACGCACAAATATTTTCTAATATTACATATTCATACTCATAAATTTTCAAAATTAATGACGGAAGTAACAGCAAAGTATGTTAACTGCACATCACATAAATTAAAAAATAATAATCAAAGATACTAGGAAAGAGAATATTAATATAAAAGTCTTTGGCCAAAATTGAAACATTAATGATATAGGTAAAGCTGCTGTTTGTACAAAAAGCAAAATTTTTAGATACCATTAAATTGCAAAGACAAAAGAATTAGTTCAGATTTCAAACCATTTAACCTGAGCTTGGTTTTTGTGATGTCCAAGAAGACTTATCAGAACCATTAGAACTTGATTCGTCCTCGATAGAACCACAAGAGAAAGAATCCAAGTCTGCTAACAAGTCATGAGAAAAGCTCCATCTTTTCCTCTTTCTTAAATCTACTTTTCTTGGAAAAATGTTTAACGAGCTCTCTTCGTGTGTCGGTGACTCGATTCTTGGGCAAGATAAACGTCTTTGAATTTCTTGAACTTCCAACTTGTTTAGACTTAAGTAGTAATCACTATGAATGTCAGTAAGTTCTCTTAAGTTTGGGAGCTTTAAAAACAGTTTAGGATAAAGAACTGATGCTCTGCTGGCTCCGTATCGCCACAACATATAGTTTTTAAGCAAAACGCAATATTTTTCTTGCTCTCTTGCAACTAAATCCACATTTTGGAGCCCAGGTCTATCTGAAGACAGTAAGACTGTTACGAGCAAGATCATTAGCGTTGGTTCATCAATTTGCAGATCTTTAACACCTTCGATGAATTTCATGTGTTTCTCAAAAAGTTCTGTTGTTACCAATTTTTTCAGATCTTCTGCTAAAAGTTTAGGAGAAGCTTTACAAAACATTTTCTCATGATCAGGCCAGCACATGTGGTTTTCATTAAACATGTATGCACCACGTAAAAAACACAATTCCATGACACCGGTCCGTAGCAAAATTTCTTGATCATATCGAGGAATAACGGAAAAAGAACATAGTTGCTGAGCGAAATGTGCAAACTGTTTGACGACCGTGAAAAACATATCTAATATTTCTATCGGGCTTCGATCGTAAGCATTGTTACATAAGCTACTGCTAAAAGCTATTGTCATATAACTCACCTGATATGAGTTCATAATAGACTCTATGCACCTGATGTCTTCTTCTGTTAAAAATTTTCGGATATTGTTAATTTCTGGATAATAGTCCATCTGATGTTTTCTCCCAGGTTTAGGATACATGTCATGCTGGTGTTGTCGCTTTGCCGTGCGAATTCTTAAAATACGCAAACGTTCCTCTTCTGTCATGACCCAGCTTTTCTCCATCCCGATGGCCACACATTTGTGGAACCTACAGAACTGGCAACACTTTCTGGAACTGATAGTGATTTCACAAATGCGCTTGTAGGGACATTGGAAGTTCTTGTAGCCTGTACTCTGTACTGAACGTCTGAAGAAAGCTTTGCAACTGTCACAAGAGAGACCCCCGAAATGGTAACTTTTAGCTTTGTCACCACATACTTTACAAAACTTTGGTTGTCTTGTTGGAAGTGAAGGCGGCCCATTTGGTTTGGTTAAAATAGAACAATCATTTGAAGGAAGACTAATTCCTAATAAAAATAAAATAAAAAAGCATGCAATGATGTTAAAATGCGTGGATTTATAGATTTACTATATTGTATTATTTATTAACAGTATGTTAACATGCTTAAATTTACGAACTTACTGGTTATATATAATTCTCCATTAATATCCCGATATTTTATGTTGCAATAAACATGTTTTATTTATTTATGAAAACCCTGAAATTTGAAAGGTAGGTCAGACAAACTCAAAGTTCATTGATAATTATCACAAGATCCGATACGCCATTCACGGAGGTTATAAATGTAGGTAGCTAGAATATGAAACAAAAAGTAGAAAAAAATAATGTTAACTGGAAATCTATAGTACAATAAGCTGGTATATAATGACAATCTGAAAACTTTTTTATTTGGAAATTAATACATGATGTGTGTTTGTGAATTTGTTTGTCTGTGAGCTGTTCTCACAATTTTAGAGATAACAGGACCAAGTGTGGCAGGCGGCCTCCTGGCGGCCCAGGAAGCTAACAGGACTAAGTTGACAGGCGGATTCGTTGTGGCCCAGAGTGTGTATTTATCTATATGTCGTACACTCTACCCTTTCTTACGTGGGGTACCAAAAAAAGGCTAGAACACGCTCAAAATGTCACCTAAATGTGTTGAAGGTCTAGAAGTAGGTTTCCATGGTCACAGGGTTAAAAAACATGCCCAAAAGGTCGCCTAGACGTGTTGGAGGTCTAGAAGTAGGTTTCTGTGGTCGCAGGGTTAAAACACGCCCGAAAAATCACCTAAACGTGTTGGAGGTCTAGGAGTAGGTTTCCATGGTGGCAGGGTTAAAACACGCCCGAAAAGTCACCTAAACGTGTTGGAGGTCTAAAAGTAGGTTTCCATGGTTGCAGGATTAAAACACGCCCGAAAAGTCACCTAAACGTGTTGGAGGTCTAAAAGTAGGTTTCCATGGTTGCAGGATTAAAACACGCCCGAAAAGTCACCTAAACGTGTTGGAGGTCTAGAAGTAGATTTTTGTGGTCGCAGGGTTAAAACACGCCCGAAAAGTCACCTAAACGTGTTGGAGGTCTAGGAGTAGGTTTCCATGGTCGCAGGGTTAAAACACGCCCGAAAAGTCACCTAAACGTGTTGGAGGTCTAGAAGTAGGTTTTTATGGTCGCAGGGTTAAAACACACCCGAAAATTCACCTAAACGTGTTGGAGGTCTAGGAGTAGGTTTCAATGGTCGCTAAGCTCGAATGTGGCATCAGATTTTGTGTTCGGTGCCTCTTCTGGATCCCAGGAACACCATTTTTGTTTTACAATCAGAAGCTAGCAGGTAGATATTAAAGTAATTGGGAATAATGGAGGAGCTTTGTTGCTACATTGCGGTCTTTGGGAATCATGAGTGGGCCTTTGAAATACGTAGCTATTTTATGTTAGTGTTATCAATAAGTTGGATTCTTTAGTACAACGGTGTTCGTACATTACGTGAAAGAATTCTATACACGCAAGGAACATCTTGCAGCAAATACCAAATACATTTCTTTGGACTATATGTCCTATAATTTTAGAAATATTACCATTAGCAACATTGGTTGTTATAGTTCCTCGTGTAATTGTTGTTAGGATCTCTTTGACTTTAACTTTTCGACAAGAATTCAGTGCTTTCCCGCCAAATTAACTGTTCAATGTGTTATAAGTTCCTATAGGCTGGTAACTTGATTCCGTTACCCAAGCTTAAAGAGAAAGTCTTTTCGACCATCTTGACCCCATAAATAACCAGTTTTATATCTATTGAATGAATCTAAATAAATGTAGCATTAGATAACAATCCATTTTCATATGCCAAATAAATGAAGAATAACTCAAACCTTAAAATATCTCATAATTTAATGAACACTTTGAAATACGAGGTTGAATACGTTATATCAAAATGATTTTGGAGCCTCACCACGTTGTTAGAAGCCATGTCACTACTTTCGGTCATAATCTATATGAAATTCGTATATCTTGACAATAGCTCTGCAGCGTAGTTTTTATTGCAAAAGGCTCTGTCGTAAAGTACACCTCTCCCCTTTTTGCTTTCCATAATCTATCTGGTGTAAGGGAGCAAAGGCTCTGTCGTAAAGTAAACCTCTCCTTCCTATTGCTTTTCATAATCTATCTTGTGTAAGGGAACAAAGGTTCTGTCGTAAAGTACACCTCTCCTTCCTATTGCTTTTCATAATCTATCTGGTGTAAGGGAACAAAGGCTCTGTCGTAAGGTACACCTCTCCTTTCTATTGCTTTCCATAATCTAAAGGTACAAATGTTTTCTATCACCTGTTCCATCAGTCCTATCGCACAGAAATCCATAGATATATATGTCTTTGTATGAAATACCATGAATACTCGTTTCATTCTCCAACTGCGTAAGTTATGCGACGGTTAAACAGATATGTTGTACACACGTGACTTGATTATACAGTATACTGTTGCCTAGGGCACGTGGAAGGTACAGTAAATGATCTTTGTGTTCGTGGAATCACACTTGCTATTAGTGGCAGGAAAAAGCTATTACATACCCTTCTCAAACAGTGTCACAATGCACTTCTGGTATATGCCGTTCCATCGTGACTTTGTATCGGTTGTAGTTTTCCACAAGACATGCTGATTTGCATGTTTACTATTAGGTACTCAGTCTTCTGTAATTCCCTATCTTGAAAGAAAGGCTACCACAATCATAGATTTTCTGCATACTCCATTAAAATAGTCATGACAAAAGAGAACTAAGTCTTGTTCTTTTTTCACAGTATAAATATTCTCAATTATTCATATTTTAGCAAAAACATATCGTGTAACAATTGGAAAAAAAAATTCTAAAATAGATGAAACCGAAGTTCTGATAAAAATGTATTTATAATCATCTATTAATCCAGAATCATAAACATACTATAAACGTTTCTGCTCGGACATAATAAATGTACTACTGCCACATTGTTAACAATCTTTCCTTTAAGTCCATTTAGCAATGAAAATAATGTTACTAACACACTAAACCATGACATATCATCCATGTAGAGAGGCACGCTAACAAAAATCTACTGAAGTCTGATGTGAGCAAAGTGAGTATACTAAATAAGGAAAATAGTGGCTAACTGAAAACATTTAACATGGTAAAGTATATTGTGTTTGAAATGCAACAACTAGCATATTAATATATCGTTTTGACCTCTAGAAGTGGTTTACTAGACTAATGACATTTTTTGTAAATGACACTTAAAATGATGTGTTACGAATAGGAAATACTTCTTTTCTGTACAAAGGTACAAAATGAAAATGGAACAGAAACGACCTACTCAGTGATGTAAAGGGTAATTTGTTCAGTAAATATCAAATAATTAGATCAGATCGGCAGACAAAGGAACATATCTTACACTGAATTTGTACTCTAAATTATCTTTAATTCCAAGCTTGTCAGCAACAAAAGCGCATATTCCCATTGTTGAAGTTTAAGTCTTTCTTCCAAGAGAAAATTGACATAAGTAATTCTTTACTTATTTCATAAACCGAAATTTAGTCATCTAACAGCTGGCTACCGTTACTATTGGATCAATTAACAGCTGGCTACCGTTATTATTGGATCAATTAACAGCTGGAAACTGTTACTATTGAATCAATTAATAGCTGGCTACCGTTACTATTGGATCAATTAACAGCTGGCTACCGTTATTATTGGATCAATTAACAGCTGGCAACTGTTACTATTGGATCAATTAACAGCTGGCTACCGTTACTATTGGATCAATTAACAGCTGGCTACCGTTATTATTGGATCAATTAACAGCTGGCAACTGTTACTATTGAATCAATTAATAGCTGGCTACCGTTACTATTGGATTAATTAACAGATGGCTACCTTTATTATTGGATCAATTAACAGCTGGCTACCGTTACTATTGGATCAATTAAACATACCGCTACTATTGGATGAATTAACAGCTGGCTACCGTTACTCCTGGATCAATTAAACATACCGTTACTATTGGATCAATTAAACATACCGTTACTATTGGATCAATTAACAGCTTGCTACCGTTACTCCTGGATCAATTAACAGCTAGCTACCGTTACTATTGGATCAATTAACAGCTGGCAACTGTTACTATTGGATCAATTAACAGCTGGCTACCGTTACTATTAGATCAAATAACAGCTGGCTACCGTTATTATTGGATCAATTAACAGCTGGCAACTGTTACTATTGAATCAATTAATAGCTGGCTACCGTTACTATTGGATCAATTAACAGCTGGCTACCTTTATTATTGGATCAATTAACAGCTGGCTACCGTTACTATTGGATCAATTAACAGCTGGCTACCGTTATTATTGGATCAATTAACAGCTGGCAACTGTTACTATTGAATCAATTGACAGCTGGCTACCGTTACTCCTGGATCAATTAAACATACCGTTACTATTGGATCAATTAACAGCTGGCTACCGTTACTCCTGGATCAATTAACAGCTAGCTACCGTTACTATTGGATCAATTAACAGCTGGCTACCGTTACTCCTGGATCAATTAACAGCTAGCTACCGTTACTATTGGATCAATTAACAGCTGGCTACCGTTACTTTTGGATCAAGTAAACAATTTGTTTGAAGGTAAGCACAAGCTACACAATGGACTATTTGTGCTTTGCCCACCACGGGTATCGAAACCCCCCGGTTTATAGCGTTGGAAGTCCGCAGACATACCGCTGTGCCGGCTTCATTAAACAGATATGTTATATAATATTATTCCCAAACATTTGCATGTGTGTTTACGTAACTTGACATTTCCTTCTTTCGGATCAGAATTCATAGTTAAGCTTGATAAAGCTAACTCAAGTTATATAGTCCATATAATACATATGTAACCCTCGTGTACTCGAGTGCAGATAAATGTTTAACTCATTTTCACCATACATCGGCAGTGTTGCTTGATGATGTACAGTGGAATATTTTAAATTCAATTGAAATTTGACAGTAAGTTTTTTATAACGACACCAGCAGCTTTTCATGAAAGCAAGTGTTGGACTAACTAGAATCATGATAAACACTTTTGCAAAAACATGTATCACCATTACTGTTTTAAATGATCTTGTTTCTAAACAATTTCTGTATCATTCTTGTTTGATACATATTAAAAACAGGTTTTTATCTTAATTTTACTTTATACTGATTAGTAGATTAGTTCATTCAAGGGCTGTGACTTAAGCTAATAATTTGGAATTTAATTTACTCATCAGTCATTGGTGGATCATTTTCAATAGGTAGCAGTGAAAATAAAGGAAAGATAGATTGTTTTCTATTAAGTAGAAAGCTGAACAATTGGCTATCTATGCCCTGCCCACCGCGGGTATCGAAAGCTGACTTTTAGCGTTCTAATCCCTAAGATTTACCGCTGAGTCAACAGGGGCAATAATTGAAAGACAAATGACAGGACATTTTCTAATTTCTAATTACGATTATGTTAAGACATTATTTATATACATTTAATTCTACGTTATTTTTATACAATGACAGCGGTGGAAATAATTATCAAAAAGATATACATATTGTTATTCATGATTTACACGTAGTTCAAACACAGGTGTTTAAACAAGTGGCTCTATTCAGAACGGATAAAAGCTACAACTGGGCAATTTGAACGAGCTAACAATATTATAAGTTATCTTTAATTATACACAATGATCACAACACGATCAGAAAGGCCTAACTGTACAATAATAATAATTGTTAGCTGCGGCATTGCAGCTCATAGAACGGCTCTGAGATTGATTTTTTTTTTTTCGAATACAAACTTTTAGGTCATAGCTCCGTCATCCTTTGACCGATATGAGATCTAATCACAGTTTTGGACTTGAAAGATCAAACTCTTTCTACTGGTATATTTGACCACGCCCAAGATCTCGTAGATTAAGTTACTCTAATCCTGTCTACTAGCTGTCTTCTCTCAAGTATGTCAGTTCACAAACAGGGACGGCGCAGATAGCCTGTTTGTAGCTTTGCACGAAAATTCTAAAAAAATAGATTAAAAACGCTGTTGAACACAGATTATTCAAAAACACTATTCAATATGTGTGTTTTTGTTGCGAACTTTATACAATACTAAATCGATTGTACTATATTTCGGTAAAACATAAAAAAGTGTTGAAGTAACAGTATAATCCGTCGTTGAATAAGGCCTGATCTTGTTCCTTCAGACGTAAATATCACGGAATGCCAAGGAAAGTTAGACTAATGCTGCTTATCATCTTCATTTAGCTTGTTTGCAAAAGAATAAACAAATTCCCAGAAAATGGATAAAACCGAGTCAGAATATAAACAACTTCCAGATATCATAAAGTATTTTACTGTCAGATAAAATAAACACCAAGAGTATATGTTAGCGCACATTCTGTAAACAAATACACATTCTAGTGTTATTATACTTTGTAATTCCATACTATTATTTCAGTGCAGTAATAGCAAAACGCTAATCAGCTTTACTTACGATAACTTATCTCATAAAACGTAACCTAGTGGGCTCTGAAACCCACAGTTTCTTCAAATTATACTACATCATTTTGTTTATTACCTTTCAAGTGCTGCGACTATTATGGATTCCCTCTTGTTTAAGGTAAAGTTTGCCTTGCATGCTTTTAAACAAGATTGGAGTAAATTAATCTGTGAGCTACCCCCCCCCCCTCTTTTTATTAGTTATACTTTTGTGCGCCAGCAGTACCATGCTTGGGGTGAGCGTATACCCGATTCCATTTTATCAGTCATCAGGATTTCCACCAGCCTACCCTCAAATTGAAATTCTCAACATCATCCACTACTAATACTTAGACTACTTTTATCTCATCAAATAGTAGGATATGTCCTTCACTCCTATAGCTAATCCACATCCTGAAATGCGGAGCGCGTGTTTTTCGTAACAGAACGCGAGCCACAAACTCCCCCACTCACAGTCCGATACACTGACCATCAAGTACGCCCAGCCCAGTTGTTCATTAAGTGTTAAATTCTATTATTTTCTAATGAGCTAAACGGCTACTAAAATTAAAAGCAAAATTAAAGAAATTTGGCTAATTACGCTTATTTGAATATTTTAATTTGTATGAAAATATATTTATCTAATTCCAAGCGAGCGATTAATCTGGTTTAAATTCATTGTAGAATAAGCGCCTATCAATATTTATTGTATGCGAATAGTCCAGTGCGATCATTTTTAGAGGTATAGAGCTGAAAAGAAAATACAACTATCAATTTCATCCACTGTGTATCTCTAGACATGAACATGGTTAACTCATATGATTACTTTATAAATTGTATTAGAATTCGGAAAAAAATCAAATGAACATGGTTAACTCATATGATTACTCTATAAATTGTATTAGAATTCGGAAAAAAAAATCAACCAAACAAATCGTTAAGCTTCAACTGAATACCTTAACAGATGTCTAGCATAAAACTCTTACATAAATATACAGTCTTTGCTCTCATAAACTTTAATATGAACTTGTATTTCCAGTCTTTAACTTACCTTGGTATAAAGGAAAACGGTACACCCATTGACGGGTATCAAGAAAAGGCCATGGATGAACTGATGACATTAAGACCAACAAGATGTCTAGGACCGAAGAAAATAATGAGATTAGAAAGCTGGCTTAAAAGTGAAATGTAGACCAGTTATATGTATTTACACGAGAGCTCCTGTTTTTCGTAGGGAAACGCGTATTCTTGTCATGTAGATATTTCCATAGGCCCACACATGAGTTTGATGTCTTTCGATTAAATGGTGTCGACTTCGCTTTAGATTTCACTCAGCAATGACCAAGAGACAACTGTGGAAACCACGACGTGAAAGAGCGTCAGATGAGTTAATATAAGCCAACAAAATATATTCGTGAGAAAAAATAAGACATATCCTGTCCACAGATTTGCCAATTGACCCCAAATATCTCCTATTGTAATAATCTTCATTATTATTTATCTACGTATGTAAATCTGTCCAATACTATTGTCGAATGACGCTATCTCGTTATTTCAAGTTACCAATAGCACTTGATTCCACCGTTTCTCCGGAAGTCGTATTATCGTGTTTATCATTTAAAGTAATTTTCAACAGTTTCAGTGAGGTGCTCACCAATGAACAGGTAGACCTGGACGAGGTAGCGATTTCCTGTAGAATGGTTGGATAATGCCACTGGCGAAGGCCGTCTGCCTTACCGGCTGTCCTTCGAAGGAATCTACCCGAAGAAACCCACCTTCACGCCAGTCTGTAGCTCTAATACACGCCTCTTTGGAAGCCTAGTTTTGAATATTAAAATTGAAATAAATCACGATTTTTAATTACATGACGCACATACAAATTTATGCAAGCTTTCAGTTAAATAGTGTTTCAACTGAGACTTGGTGTGTCGCATGCCCAGCTGACCTCAAGTACATAAGCTTTGGTATTGAACGAATGGCCTCTGCATACAAGGTCTGCGGTTACATTTCTATCATATCATTCTTTCTGGGAAACTCTATAGTGATAGTAAATACAGATTTGTCAAAAATTATTACTAGTCTTATAGTGGTGTATTATCCCACAAATTTCCAATCTATAGATTATGTTTCGCCAACATTGGCATTGTACACCAGACGAAGTAGCATTTTTAGTTATCATTAGAGTTATTTTCTTGATGAATTTGTTTGTTTTTGAATTTCGCGCAAAACTACACGAGGGCTATCTGCGCCAGCCGTCCCTAATTTATCAGTGTAAGACTAGAGGAAAGGCAGCTATTCATCACCACCCACTGCCAACTATTAGGCTATTCTTTTACCCAAGAATAGTGGGATTAACCGTCACATTATAACGCCCTCGCGGCTGAAATGATGGGGATTCGAACCCGCGACCATCAAATTGCTAGTCGAGCGCCATAACCACCTGGCTATTCTGGGCCTTCTTGATGAGAGAATTATTGTAGTTTCATTAATAAAATACAAATGGTACGAGTAAGAATAAATATTCTTAATTGAAATATTTTTGTGAAGTGGTTTTCCATGCAAATTAGTATACTAGGATATTATTTTAAAATATACACGGTTGCGAACTATAAAAATATATATTTTAATGTTTTTTATTGTTTCTGTTCGGCTCGTGAACAAGATATTTAGAGCAGAATTTTGAGGTTTAAATTCACGATCTATAAATTGATTTAATTTTTGAATAAGGTGCATGCGTAAGAAATACTAAAAGGAAACGCATCTCTTTAGATATATATTCGGTTTGATGGCGGCGAAAATGAATTTTATTTTTTGTGCATTTATGTATATAAGCGCAAAGCTATACAATGGGCAATCTGTACTTTATCCACCGCGTTTATCTAGCCACAATTTTAACCTTTTAAACCCACGAGTTTACCGCTGAGCCACTGCGAGGTAATAAAATGAATATATCTCAGATTCATTAAACTTAATGTCATTTATTACTCGTTACTTATTCTGTTCTATAGAAAATATGTTGGTTCTTCGTCTGCTCAGTTTTTCATTATTCGCTCTCACACACACACGCGCGCGTTTTCAGAAAAGTTCTTTTAACGCGGAAGGTAAATTATAAGACTATCTAACTTTGTAGCTCGACCTATATAGCTATATATATATTTTCAGTGATTTCTCGTCTTATCACAATAATAAACGCTAGGTAAGGTAATTCTTGCCGTGGAAACCTGAGAATTAGCCTTTATCAGCCGAACAAGGTCATGTGAGAGTCTGGTAAACTTTCAACTTGTCAAATAGAAAATGCACTTTACGTGAACACCATCATAATTAACTTCACTCTGAACTGTTAGGCAAGCCACAGGCTACTTTAAGGTGAGGTGCCATTTTTATAAACTTGTGAAAACGATATTAACGTCAAAAATGGAGATAATTAACACAAAAGTACTATTTTAACATATTTCTAAAATCATGTCTCATATATATATATATATATAAAGTTGTATGAATCTGAAAATATTGGGTATAGTAAAAATCGATTATTACAGGAAATAGAACATGCTTTCAAGATCTATCATACTAAAACATATGATAAGTAAACCATATAGATCCACGTAAAATATTTAATAATGAGGTGAAATTTACGTATACTGTATATTCAATTTGAAAACAAATAAGTAACACAACGATGTATAATAAATGTGGCACTTTTTGAAAACTTAAACTATTAAGCTGTGAATCTTCCCCGGAAAGGAAATATATTCATTTATTTCAATGGAATTTATAATTTGTATAACGATGATAGGAATGACTAAAAAACTAAGGGTGAATGAAAACAGTTTGGTGAATTTTTTCTTGCTTACTGCCTAGGGACGTTCGTTGGCAACTGTATGATATTATCTACTTCAATCATTTTGTTTTTGTGACTTGATTAATGATCATTGTGTTATCTCCAACTGTTATATCAGTGTCAGTTTTAATGGTATATGAATATCTTTTTATTTATAATGTTACTTCTCTGCTACTGAAGTTGTGTTATTAACAAACTTGATGTAATGAACCGATTTGTTTTGTGTTTATTTTTGGTCAAGCCTGTGTGTTTTTCTTATAGCAAAGCCACGTCGGCTTATCTGCTGTGTCCACCGAGGAGAATCGAACCCCTCATTTTAGCATTGTAAATCCGTAGACTTACGACTCAAGCCTGTGAATTTTCAACATAATTTTATGTGTTTATTTATCTTTCTATTATCATCGACATTTTTTTAAATATTTGTGTACAAGGACACACACACATACCCACACGAGCTGGTACACACAACAGACACAAGCGCGTACACACACACATATACACATTTATATATATATATATAGGGAGAGGGGGGGAGTAGGATTAAAGATTTTTGGTCAGAATGTATTTAGAAAGATCACTCACTTTGTGTCATAAAGAGCATATAGTATTGAATCATTGATTTTGTAAGAAGTCACACAGAGCTAATATTAGTCTTTTTAGAAGTCAGGTAGAACAAGGATCCATAATTTTGTCAAATATTACATCTAGTAAATCTAGATTTTCAACTGACTTCACATCCCTCTTTTTAAGTCAATAGTAAAACTATATTAGTTAATCATATCATTGCACAAAATGTTACATCAACACGGATGTCATTTAGCATTTTCAAAATCTTTCACTATTAAAAACATACGTATAAAAGTTGAAGAAAATGAAACGGAAAATGGAAAAAATATGAGATATGATTAGAAATCTAAATATGAACTGAAATGAAAACTATAAAACGTCGAAAAACTCTGCTTTGTGATTTATACATTTCTTGACACAAATTAATCACATGACGAAAGCAATGATATCATAAACTAAAGTATTAATTATATTAGAAAAAGAGAAAACAAAATCGGGTTCTTCATTGTAAACCATTCTTGTTTTATTAGAAGGCTCTTAAAGGTTAACAATTCCAGTTGTTCTATGCGTTTTTTATGTTTGATTTTTACTGTCAAAAAAAGATTTATTGAGTTATGTTTCATGAATCACTAAAAAAAGACAGTTATAGTTTCTTTGTAGTAACACCTTTATTACCTGAAGTATAAAGCCTGGTCTATAACTCTAGAAAGCTATGTAGCCATTGAACTAGCAAATAGTGAAACACGCATAATGACAGCAGCTTAAGTGCTTTGTTGTGAGGTGTGAAGGCCAAAATTGACATCAAAGTATATTGTATGCTAATACTGGTTAAAATAATTTCTTACAATTTTATAGTGTTTTTAATTAAATATACATATATTTTATGTTGATCGGTGGATGCCATTGTTAATAGTATGATAAGAAAAATGTTTTAAAAATGTGAATTTCAAACAAACAGTTAGAACACAATATGAGTGCTATGGAAACGGGTATTGACCTCTTTGCCAATAATAACGTGTTTTAGAATTACAATGTCAATTTAATTTCAACAACCTGTTGTGTTATATTAATTTTAGGTCTTGTGGTCATCCAACTTTTTTGGTTTTTAGAAAACTATAAATTCTTCATGATGATAAAATACTATAAAACTCTCTTTAAAAACTCAAACACTGGTTGGTGAAGTAACGTACTTCATATAAAAGTTCAGGTGGTTGTACCACCACAGTTAATTGCTTCATAAAAAAACAAAACAAGGATGAATGTATACTTTTCTAAAATAACACATAAGGAATTCCTGTAGCTATATCTCGTTAAAATGCTATATATAAAGAATTCAATTTGTTGTACTATAGTAAAATTACAGATGGTTGTATTATGGCAGGATAATATATTCAAGACTACTAATTGTTGTATCATGATAAAATTGTGAATAAAAACCTTTTCTAGCAATTGCGTCATGGTAAATATCTATGTACAACTATATTTATGGGTTTTTTTAGTTATTCTTATCTCACCATATAGTAACCTAAATTAATTTAAATGTGTACATAATATTATGGCATTGCGCCTAATTGATTATTCGGTATTATATAAGGAACCAGTTGTTTAATGCTTATATTACACATTTCATTTATTTGATTTGCTGCCCCAAGCTGTGCTCATGAGTCTCAAATAAATGAAACTGCAGTTCACAGCAGGGGTTGCGGTAAATCA